TTCCATTGGAAGAAAATTAATTGTTTGCAAATTATGTGATTCAGCTCAAACAAAAGATCAAGTATCTTGCTGAAGGAATTTGCGCTCGTTTTCAAGAAGCTGATGTGTGTTTAACTAAGATGAGAGTATACAACATAAAACCTAGTAAAGAATATGCACCTGCTAAGATGAAAGCATGTAAAATTAGACCAAGTAATGAATATGCATCTAACAGAATATGAGACGAAGTGCGAACCTTGCATTTTGGCTCCATTAGTTCTGTGGGATTTAAAAGTTTCCCACACTTTTCACATTGATCTCCTCGTGCAGAATCATAGTTGCAACCTGGTGTTGGACAGTTACCCTCTACAAGTCTATCGGCTAAGAACTTTTTGCAAGTGTCACAGTAAAGCTGCATAAGAAAATGAACTTCAGCTGGGGAAATGTCAACTATGCTACAGCTGTGGTCTGTGCAACTTCAATTAAAGAAGTATTTAAAAGCTTGATGACTTGAAATCATACATATGTTTTTGGTGAATTCCTTGGATTCAATGACATTTCTTATCGCTTCTTATGTTGGAATGGACCAAATTCTAGTATGTTCACGTGTACGGTAGGAAGCCAACAAAGCTAATGCTAAACGCGTAGCAATAGAAGCACACAACAGTTGCACAAGCTAATTTCCAAGGAAATAATTCGTACTACAATACGATACCTCTTGCATTGTATTCTCAGAAAGCCAATTATTTTCGAAGAGATTCTTGAAAATTGCTTGACAAACTTCTGTCTGCTGTGGCGTTGATGTGCGTCCAAATTCATCAAAGCTTATATCAAACCATTTATAGACTTCTTTATGAATAGCATGATATCTGCAAAGCCAATAAGAGGAGAAAAGAATTGTGAAATGGGGTGGGTTGTGTTCGTGTTGGGACCCTCTGGTTAAAAATTACATCTCTCTCAACCGAATAAACTAAAAGGATGAATTTACAAGGACTCAGAAGAAAGCAAACTTTTAATTTTCAAAAGGAAAACCAGGTATATGAATGCTAAATTAGCGCACCTCTTCTGGAGCTCTTGAAATAATCATGTGAAAAAGTCTACAGGAATTCATTTAACTGCTATTTTTCGCTATATAAACCTACAAACTTCATACTGGTGCATCATTTGCTGTTGTCTGGACTTCAATTGGATTAAAATATCTTAGCTGTGTAAATCTAACACTTCAAAAAAGTAAAAAAATGGATAACTTGGAAGCTTAAAAACCTAACGAGACTTAAAACTAATTTCCTTGGTCAGTTGGTCCAAAACATAATATGTGAATTGGGAAAGCAAAACTTAGCCAACTATTTAATATATTACCTGCAATGTACATAACTTCACAAAGACCACCATGTTCAACATATCTCTTAAATGAAAACCCCGATATTTTTAATAGAAGAGCCATTTGTTAGTCTAAAGGTCTCGAGGTATAAGTAATATGCTTGACAAGAAGCTCATCTCTGTCAAAGTAAATGTAACAGCCCACACGCCGCTGGGGGTTCACTGTGAAACTTGCCTTAGGCAAATCACACGTCGGATTGGGGGTAGAAAGTGAGGGGTCATATAAGAACAAGTTAGGATTCAACTGTTGAGGTGTCTTTTGGGTAAAATCCCAAGAGGACAAAACCCTGAGGTCCAAATACCTTGAGGTTGTAGGTCACTAAAGGAGCAACTCTACCATTGCTCCAATGCTCGCCCTCGCTAAATAAAAGCACATACTAGAGCTAATTTTCAACAATCGACTAATCACTACCAATAAAAATCTAATCTTTACCACAAAAACATGATAAACCCAAGAAACTAATATCCATTACTATTCTGATACCTGTAACAGCTTGTTTGGGTGGTTGTTACCTATCGTATTGTTACTTTAAATATAATGTTTGTTTTGATTGTTACTTAAATTTCATTGTATTGTATCGTTAAATCCATCGTTGCGTAACGACGAAAAGTGCCACTTTATGGAACGACGGATTTGGTGTGGTGGCGTCGTTTCCTTGCTTTTTTCTCGAATATTACCCTTCCTTATTATTAAATAATCAGTTTTTTATCCTTTATCCTACTTTTTTATATAATAATTCTATTCCATTCCGTATCCTATTTTTTCTTAGTAATGATGCAAGTTTATTCTTCATATTACTGGTGGGTAATATCATGAAACGACAAATGATACAATCTATCCAAATATTGTATTCATCAAACAATACAATACAATACGATACATTATGAAACAACATATAACAACAATCCAAACAAGCTGTAAGTAGAAGATACTTGCTACAATTGACTACTCAATGTTAGCAATAAAAATCTAATCTTTACCCGTAAAACAAGAGAAGCCTAACAAAATTTCACATCCATTAGTAATTTATGCCTTCCCCAACACCTACCTCACCCAATGACTTTCTGCTATTGCAACAAAAGTATTATTTGGGGGAAAAGGCCATTTCATGTGTTGGTACGACAAAAGATGTTTTTGTTGATGAAGTCATTTTAGTTGTGGAAAATATTTTCCACCGAGAGGGAGGAAATCACTTCATTCGAGTTTCAGCCAGAAATCATTTTCCTTTCCAAATATCCTAATTTCTTACTCTCGCTGGTTACTTAAATTAACATTTAGACATTATTAATCTTTTATTTATTTATTTATTTATTTATAACCGTAGTGTTCGAGCCAGCTTGTGCGCACGTCAACTAATTCCACAGTATACCTGCTACCTCCGAAACTAATTCCACAGTATACCTGCTACCTCCGAAACTAATTCCACAGTATACCTGCTACCTCCGAAACTAATTCCACAGTATACCTGCTACCTCCGAAACTAATTCCACAGTATACCTGCTACCTCCGAACAACAACAGATACCAAGTAACTCTATCCACCAAGGCTTGAACATTATTAATCATTATTAATTATTATTAATATTATTAATTTATTCCAATCAACCTTATTAATTAATAATTAACATTTAATAGTAAATAATATCATAAAGCATTTTAAATTCTTCCCTTTACACCAAAGGCACCTAAATTCCATACTAAGAAAGGCAAAAGCAAAATAAATTTTGCTTACTTGTCACAAATTTGCTTAGGAGTACAATTTTCCTCCAAAGCTTTAGTCTCTGTAGCTGTCCCATACTCATCTGTACCACACATGTATATTGCATTGTACCCTCTAAGTCTACAGTATCTTGCAAACACGTCAGCACTCAACACACCTACAAATTCCACCCAAAAAAATCAATTTTCCAAATCCAAAATCAAAAAATAAAATAAAAATAAAGCAATAAATAAATAAATAAATAAAGTTGTACGTACATCCAATAATATTGCCAAGGTGAGGAACGTTGTTTACATAAGGCAAAGCACTAGTAATTAATATGTTTCGTTTGCCTGGGATTGGAAGTTTCGGAATTGTTTTGCAATTTTCGCCCATTTTTTGAGAGATCTGCTAGGGTTTAAAAGAGGTTTTTTTGGCTATAATTGAAATTCAGCAGATGAAGAAGACGAAGAATAGAGAATGCTACTGTTTAAGGTAAAAGAGGCGTTATAATTTATAGACTGAATAAATTAACGGAATGAGGTTCTTTTGCAAGTGGTTTTTATGGGAAGAATATTCAGAATATAAATACTTAGGGATATTTTCACTGTTAATCCCTCCAATATTGAAAAATGTTAATTTTGGTCCTTATGATATTTGTATAAGCACATTTAATATATAATTAATTAAAATGTGCAGTTTTGATCCCTCTAGTTGTGAATCTTCACAAATTTAACTGGATTATGTACCATTATATCATTAGTATTTGCTTGACTTGGTTTTGTTTGTGATCGATTTCATTGATTTAGTAATTAAGAGAGATCTTTATGAACCTAATTCGTCCCTTAACTTGAATTGAACTCGAGAGATGGAATTTAAGGGGATTAGTTAGTTAAACGACATGTCAACTATTTTAGGAATCAAAGATTGTTGGGTTATTATTATTATTATTATTAAGAATTAACTCAAACAGTCGCCCATCTAACCNATATATATATATATATATATAATTGTGTATAATCAATGTATAAACTATATATATGGCTAGAAAAAATAAACAATGAATATAACTGACTATCTGTGTAAAGAACCCATATGTTAATCCTGCAATCATATTGGGCTACTTAGTAAATTTTTTTAATTATGCTTGGGAAAGCTTTGAAATTACGATAAAGATATCTAGGTATGACTTATAGTCACTAGTTCGAGCCGTAAAAACAGCCATTAATGCTTGCATTAGGGTGAACTCTCTACATCACACCCTTAGGGTGGCGGCCCTTCCCTGGACCCTGCGTAAACACGGAATACTTAGCACCCTGGGTTGTCCCCTTTTTTTTATGCTTGGTAGAGTGAATTAAGAAAGGATTTGTAGGAATCCGAAGATTCTAATATTTACATTAGATCCCAAGATTCATATAGCTAATAAATCCAAGTGAATTCAAAAGAAACAATAGAATTGGTTAGTTAACAATGGGGAAATCATTAGCTAAAATTGCCTTTCTTTCATAAGTAGTAGTAGTAGTATTAATTCTTTTCAGCATGTATTTTTTCCTAGCCTTTCTTTTTCTTGCTATATTTACAACCTTTCTGTATTTGAGA